ATGTGTAATGGAAGTATATTATTTTGGGGCAGTACTTCAGGAGCAGTGAATGGAACACTTCAAGCTTACCTGATAAAAAATAAAATAATACAGTGTTCAGAAATGTTCTTGCTCTGTACATGAACATACATTATACATATGTAAACTGACCAGTATGCTTGAAAAGTGCCATCTGCCTGAGGTCCTTCAGAAGACCCTTGTCTAAGACAAGGTTCTCTAATGTAATGAATGCCCTGGACTTTTTATCAAGCCATTTCTTTTTTCTCTGCTCATCAGAGGTAAGCTCGCTATGCAGACATCTTCTTTCTTGTTTAGCCAATCACAACACACTTAGCTAGCTAACCAATCAGAGCCCATCCCCTATTTCTGAGGGAGGGGCTTCATAAAAACAGGAAAAGATCAGCCCGTTTCTCAGAGAAGGGACAGAGTGGTGTGGAATAAAGTTAAATTGTGAAAAATAATGCGTTTTTTTTTTTTAAACAAAGCATTAACACATGTTAGACTGCACCCCATAAACACAATCAAGCATTGAAAAAAAACAGTGAACCACCCCTTTGAGATACAATATCATCCAATTGTAATTGCATTACAACCAAAACAAGTAACAGCACATGTCCACAGGGCCTCCATCTTTCCCAAGCAGCCCAGATAAATGCATGTTCTCTGAAACTCTGTATCTGATCCACACGTAAGATATCACCACATTAATCTGAACAATAAAGAATACGATAAACAGCAAGACTGTAGATTCATAGACACTCCAACACACAGCACAATCATTCTTTGATCTTCAGCTGAATACTCTTTTAAAAACAGAAAAACAAAACAGAAGATAGTGTAGAATATAATGAAATACTCACAGAGTATGAGAGGCAGTGCACTGGACCCCATACTGACACATTAATAGTGTTAATGATGTGTGCACTAAAACACACACTTCCTGCGTTTCACAATTCAAGAATAGATGAGGGAGGAGACAAAACTCTACACAGAAATGCATGAAGAAATAGAAAGAAAAATAGATCCATTCTAAGATATTTACTCTTTTAATGCATATAAGTTGTTAGATCTCTGTTTCTCTACTTTAAAAGACAGTTTAGAAGTTTGGCAATAGTTCTTGCACTGTATTGTTTTGTTCGTTCACACAGCCACACACATTACGGGCAGACCAGTGAACAAAGTAAGATTCCTAATGTACAACTGTAAGGCCCGCTCTTATTTGACTGTTGTCAACAACAGCGGCCAGTTAATGGCAACTAAGTATTATTGCATGCATCACTGTATTTCACGAAGACTTTGGAGCAACAATAACCCAGAATCAAAACCCAGTGTGACTGTTGCTATAGCAATATATGAAGAAAGTACACAAAGAGATCAAGTTTAAGATATTTCACTTCTCTTTTGGTACGTTCAAACTATCAGAGAAAAAATATGAACATCAACACATGAAATGACACATACATATATTTCTATAGCAACAATCATTATATAGCTATCACACACAAGTGACACATACAGTCTATAAAATACTGATTTGCGACAGCAATATTTAAAATGTTTGTTTCTTCTCAAAAAGGGGGATATTACATGACAGTGGTTACTTTTAGAGTTGGGAAGTGGTAGAAGCAAAAAACAGGAGACTCAAGTGTATTTTCAGGCAGGATTCATTATTGAGAATCTTTATCGAGTGCTGCTTGACATTCAGTCTAACAAATGCAGTGGAACGTCATATTTGTATATATACTGTATATATATATATGAGGCAGATCAAGCAACCTTAAAGTATTCAAAGCCAGCATACAGTTATTAGGAGTCTGCCCAGTTTTACAAGCCCCAAACCAAACAGCATAATTGTACCATGCAGATACCTCATAGAAATAAAAATAAATCCACATCATAAGTAGTTGTGGTCAGAAAAAGGGAGAGACTGGAGCAGGGCCACCAAAATCCATTATAGACAAAAGCTGATCTCCTCAGGTACTGTGCTTGTTGAACTATGGAGAACAAGAACTGGCAGAAGCCTCAACCAGCTTAACCAGTTGTTACTATTGTTGCTTGACTATCAAATAAAATGTAATAAAATATAGACTCCTAAATTTGCAATAGACAGACGGATTTCTAAGAAGAAGAAGCACATGCCGCTCTTGTGGTAGTATTTTGAGGTTTATGAAACTAAAGATGCAGAATAACAATAAATATCTTGCCCACTCTGGTTAAAATATAGAGCAGAAACAGAGCAGAAGTCAAACCACAACCATCAGCTCAACTATTTAATTAGGCCTCTTAACACTTCTGTTATTTTCTCACTACAAGCAGCTTCTAAAGTCAGCAATGCACAAATGACAAAGATGAGCTGAAAGAAGCTGGTGCAACAAGTACAAATTTAAGGTGTTTCTTGTGTCTATTGTCAAACCACACCACCTGAGAAAAGCTTCTGCAGTGACTGTGAACATAATAATATTAGGGATTGTTTCTTTCCTTTTTTATTTTTGTTACACTAGCTAATACATTTTTGCAAATACATAAAAAATATTATAATTCAGACAAAGTCATCAGTGTAATAATACACAGAAAACAGAGAAAGTTGGTAAAATGTATTATGAAAATTATATGAAATAATTATATAGCTTTGTTGGTGGCTATTGAAAAAAAAATCTGAACTGTTATACTCCTTTTGCGCGCGTGCGCACACACACACACACACACACACACACACTATCATCATCATCATCATCCATTCTTGATCAATTCATGATGTTTGAACTTCCTGCAGCCATAAAGCAGGGAAGCATGAGAAGCAGCAGTGACCGGAGATTAAGTTACACCGTCGTTTGCTTCAAGCTGCCCAAAACAACTTCTGAATGAAACCCTCCACTAGTCCTTCAGCGATGTTTCTTTCATTAAAGTCACGGTCGAAGTGCTTATTTAACACATGGAGAATAGACCAGTCATTTACCACGATTATTACACAAAAATCATATGAAATTTGTAGGCAGGGTTGGGGAGTAACGGAATACATGTAACGGCGTTACGTAATCAGGATACAAAAATCTAGTAACTATAATCCGTTACAGTTACATCAAAAAACAAAGTATTCAGATTACAGTTACATTTTGTAAAAAGTGGGAGTACTATCAGGATTACATTTGTTTCATTCAAAATTAAATAAATGAGTATTTTGACATAACGCTGTATATTTAGCGCTGCATAGTTCCTGGTTCTGTTGACACATGTTGACTCATGTGAGCCGCCTGCTGGTGCATGCGCAAATAACACCCCGTCTACAATTATTCTCCTCAAACGCGGGATGAGACACTGCTACAGTTAATTATGATGCTTCCTGCTGGGAAAAACGTTTTCATGCCTGGAAATTTCACAGTTATTTTGTTTTCAAAGAGGATAAAGGAAATAACATAGTTGTACAGCGTAAGCTATGCATGAAGACTCTTGCTTTAACAAAGGCTACTCAACCAGCTTGAACATTTGCAGGTACGAGTCCGACTAGCATGGAAATCATCATGTTAGCTAAAATTTAGTTTTTATTAGTGCTTTAAAATTCCATGGTGTGCATGACTGCAGTTAATAATAATAATAATTCATTACATTTATATAGCGCTTTTCTAGGCACTCAAAGCGCTTTACATTGTCAGGGGGTATCTCCTCGTCCACCACCAGTGTGCAGCATCCACCTGGATGATGCGACGGCAGCCATAGTGTGCGGAGACAGAGTGATGAAGCCAATCAGTAGATATGGGGATTGTTAGGAGGCCATGATGATCAGAGGCCAATGGGCAAATTTGGCCAGGATGCCGAGGTCACACCTCTACTCTTTTCAAAAGACATCCTAGGACCTCGGTTTAACGTCTCATCCGAAGGATGGTGCTTGTTGACAGTATAGTGTCCCCGTCACTATACTGGGGCGTTAGGACCCACACAGACCACAGGGTGAGCACCCCCTGCTGGCCTCACTAACATCTCTTCCAGCAGCAACCTAGTTTTCCCAGGAGGTCTCCCATCCAGGTACTGACCAGGCTCAGCCCTGCTTAGCTTCAGTGGGTAACCAGTCTTGGGCTACAGAGTGATATGGCTGCCATAGCACCCTGTAGTAAGTTGTAAGTTTTCTAGCAGAAAATTAGCCTGACAATGTAGAAATTAACATGAGAGTCCCCACACCCCGGATCAGTCAATGAAATAAAGATCATAGCATTTCACATGCATTTCGACATGTAGGCTAATTTTAAAATAGAGTAATATGTATATGATGTACATTTTGTTTAATGTTGTGTATAAACTATATTTAATTTTACTTGTACATGTTAAAGAAATAAACACATAATAATAAAAATAAAACTGTGATACTAAACTGTATAGCCACTAGATGTCTGCATAGCCTTTCATATAAATATAAGGCCTGTAAAATCTAGATGGTGAAACAAGACACGGTTTTTAATAGTTTCAAATATTTTTTACTATAGTTTATTAGTTTTCATTTTAAAGTCAAAGTTAAATAAAATATTGCTTTTTTGACTTATTTACATATGTAACTTGAAGTAATTCAAAAGTAATCAGATTACATTACTTTTATATTGTTGTACTTGGATTACGTTACTGAATACTTTTTTTAATGAAGTAATTTGTAACTGTAACGGAATACATTTTATAAGTAACCCTCCCAACCCTGTTTATAAGCAACCTTGACCATTCCCACGTGTACGCCATGGATTTGAACTGACCTTGGTAAAATAAATGTTCACTTGTCACTTGATGTGTGTGTTGTTTTTGCTCAGCCAAACTATTTTGCTACTTTAGTTTTGCTCCAAATATGAGAAGAGAAAACACAAGCACGAATGGCTCGTGCAGGAGCACAAACACTGAGCAGAGCAGATTGAGTCTACGCGGTTCTCATGCTGTGGTTAAATGCGCAGTGCCGCCCTGCAGCGGTTCATCGTTGATCATCATCAGTCAGTTAGTATTTGAGCCCAGATTTGTTCATAGAGATCATGGCAGAAAGCGCTCCTCCTGCAGCTGCCGTGACCAAAGCGGCCAAGAAGAAATCAGCAGCTAAACGCAAGAGAACGGGCCCAAGCGTCGGCGAGCTCATCGTCAAGGCTGTGTCCGCATCTACATTTACATTTAGTCATTTAGCAGACGCTTTTATCCAAAGCGACTTACAAATGAGGAAAATGGAAGCAATCAAAATCAAAAGAGCAATTATACACAAGTGCTATATCAAGTCTCAGTTAGCTTAACGCAGTACACATAGCGAGGGTATAATAAATAAAAAGAAAACAGATAGAATAGAAAAAGAATAGAGCAAGCTA